ATGGATTTTCCAGAGAATGGAGACTTTTTCCTGATGTATTCTTAAAAGGAAGTCATTGCAGAAAAACTTTTATGAGAAGAGGAAGAGAGAAAACCAGAAGAGATCCCTGTTGTAACTCTGGAAGAAAGAAAATTGTCAGTTTTCCCCAAAAAACATATCAATAATACAATAAATATGTAATAGAGAAAAAGATAATAAATACACCTGTATATGAAAACGTCCCAGACACACCAATCAGTAATTTGTACATGAAGGTTAAATCATTCCAGACAACATTTTATCTGTACCATGTGTAAATACAAAGAACCAAAAACAAAGAGTACCAGGACATAATACTTGAGCTGGAGTGCTCAGTTGTGCTAGCCTAAGCCCACTAATGTCGGCACTTACAACAGTGGCAGAATAAATATGTATTGATGCAACAAATAATGTTGTTATCCTATATCTAATCTTATATATATAGATATATATAAAAATAATATTTTCTTTTATTTTATGCTCAGTTCCACTCATGTGTCTGCAAATCTCTTTTCACCTTACTAACTTCCACCATTCAGCAAAACTTGTTTTGTCTTCATTTTGCAAAACTGAAGCAACAAATCATAAAGAACTCTAATAACCATGGTTTTCCCTCACAACAGTTATTTCAATATTAAATTGCGAACAAACTCCAAATAAAGGTTTCAAGCTTTCACCATATAACCGTTTGATAACCTAATAAAGAAAACTACAAAAGAGTGTCTGCAATAGCTACATGTATGACAGAACTAGAAATAAAAATCAAAATAAAAACATAATCATACAGACATTGCAAAATCTCTTGGTGGGTATTGGCTACAAAGCCACGGGAAACTTGCTGCAACTTGCACATGCTGAATAGCAATATCCCATAAAAATGGACAGAAAAACAAGTGAACTATAAAGATGAAGTAACAAAATTTACTAACCTTTTTTGATGGTTAAACAGATCTGTACGATCACAGAAATAAAAGTAAGCCAAAAGGAGACCAAATTCAGACCTGGAACAGGGAAGAGCAAATGAAACGAAGGTCAGTATTTTGATGCAACTAACAAAGCATATTCTGAATCACATATTCCACTTACATTGCTCGAAGTGTCAAACGGTTTTCAATCAGAAAACTTTCATCCATCAAAAGGAATCTGAAGAAATAAATAAGAATGCCATAGTATACAAATTTAGATAAAGCAAAGATACAGCCATAACTACAGTAAGCAAGAGAAGAGGGTCCTCTTTTACAAACCGAAAATTGGTGATGTGGAACTTCGAGCTTTTGGAGAGCCTGTCTGCAAGGCTCCCCCCTCTAATAAACTACCGTATCCTCTTCTTTAGCAGCACCACTACCCATTTCAACTAAATTGACATCCGAAGTCCTACTAGTAGCATCCAATAAAAAAAAATGTATTAGTAATAATGAAATGATGATAACTGATAAGTGCTTAATCGAACAAAATAAAATAACACTTCTGGGATGGCCATCTAACAATTTTTTTTTCCCTCCTCTCAAACTTATCAGGCAAATGAAAACAGATTAAAAATCTACAATTTGGAACAAATCTACAACAAAGCACACATATAAAATAAAAATATAAAATTCTGAAATTCTGTCTAAAGAAGAAATCATTTGCACAAACACCAGGAGTAATAATCCATAACATAAGTCATTGTTAGAGAATCAAATACTTCAAAACAAACGCTTGTCAATCCTACTGAAGCCAAGAGCTTAAATTTCCTACCTAATACATCAGACAGCTTAGAAATGCAATAATAATACAACACATTCCCCTGCGAAACATAAATATTGCACGAGCACGTGCAACTAGAATGGAACAATCAATCAAACTCACACTTTGGAAGTGAATGAATTTTTCCTATACTCCAATATCTCCGAATATATCCATGCGGCGACGACAGGAATAATTCCAAGCAGGCAGGAAACCTGCAACAAGAACAATGAATAAAGAAACTAAGTTGAACAAACAAAGGCAACTCATAACAAGTTAGTTCATTACACTAACCTAACCATAAACACATCGAAATTCAAAGCTGTGCTACATTACAGAATACGACATTAAATATAAAATAAAATAGTGCGAGATCTGAGAGCAGAAGCAGGAAGATGTACCTGACCAGGGGTCACGGGACTAGAGATAATCATATTGAAAAAGAGTGAAGAGGAAGAAGAGTCGGTTCACTGGAATCACGGTAATTGGCGCAGAAAACGGAGGAGCATTGAATGCGATGACGATCGGAGAGCAGATCTAGCAGAAAAGGAGAAGAAGGAGAAGAATTTGCGGAGAAACAATGGCGGCTGTGTTCAGTAAGAGAGAAGAAGAGAGCTAGAGAACGGAGAAAGCGAGATAAACCAAAACGAGTTCAAAGCACACACCGACGTGTTTTTCTTCTCCATAAATGTGATGTCCCCTCGGGATAGTCGTTGAGAATGCGCTCTTTCGCGCGAACCGATTCACTCTTCTCTACTCAGTTGAAAAAGGGAAAAAATTAATCACTTTCCTCCCATTTATTTAAAAATATAAATATTTTTAATTAAATCTTTTTTTAAATAAAATAATTTTCTATTTTTTAATTAACTTTATGTTTTTACATTTACTTTCATTAAACACACCCTATAATAAATATAAAATCATTATCAATAGAGACATTTAAAAAAAAGTAATAATTACACTTCAAAAAATTAAAAATACCTTATATTTTTTAACATCCAACTTCTCAAAAAATACCTTACATTTTTTAATAGAGGTAGTAACTCATATAATTTTAACTCAATTATAATTAAATTTTAAATTTCAACTCATTATAATTTAATTTTTATAATTTTAATTCAGTTATAATTTAATTTTTATAATTTTAATCACTTAAATATTGATCCTTATATTTAAAAAAAAATTATAAATATTTAAAATATTTTTAAATTTTAAATATTATATAATATTAAATATTAAAAGGATTTAATTATTTAAAATATTAGTAATAATTTTTTTGCATAATTTTAACATTCATAATTTTATTATTAATGTTATAAATATTAAATTTTTTAAAATATTATAATTTTAATTCTTTCTATTTAAATATTATAAATATTAAAAGTTGAAATTATTTTTAATCTCTATAATTTTATTTTTTTTTAAAATAAAACTAATAATTAAGTGGTTGAAATTAAAAAAACTAAATTGTAAGAGATAAAATTTAAAAACTGAGTTATAATAAGTTAAAGTTTAAAAATTAAATTATGATTGGATCAAACTCCTACAGGGCCAAAAATTATTCTTTCCAAAGTAAAACAGAGGGACATAATTTTGTTAGAATTTTATTAAAAATTATAAAAAATAAAAATTAGAATGAAAGATTAACGTAAGTGTGATTTTTTTTTAGCCAACTATCAAGGTAACTGTAATTAATTCTTATAACCTTAATATAAATTTTTTTCAATGATTCCTTAAAATTAATATGGGGTGATGTATGAGTTACAAAAAACCTCTTTTAAAAATAGGGTTGTGTAATTTTCAATTCCACACACAAAAATAAAAATAGTATTAAATTTAATTAAAATCAATGTAATTTTAAAAAATAATTTACTTTAAATAATTGAATCAATAAAATTTTAAAATCTTTACTTTTGAAAATTATTACATTTTGCCAAGAAAATCTTGTTTCAATCTCTACTCTTATAATTTTCAAATACTACAAGTTTCTGGGCATTTGTTTAGCTTTGTTTTAATTTATTATTTATCATCTCCTTATTTTATATATATTATATATATAGATAAGAAATAGTTTTTTTCTCAAATAATGAGTGTTTTGCTTGTAACTGTTAAATACAATGTATGAGATATTTGTTAAAAATATATTAGATTTAATTAGGAGTAATTTTTAATATTTTAAATTTATATTTTACTATTTGGTCCTTCCGATAATTACATTTTTAAAACTCTCTAATAAATATTATCTTTTATAGATTCATGTTATAATTTCCCCCATTCTCTTCTGTTGCGTCGAGTGGAGTGGAGAGAAAAATGCTGTTAAATTAAAATCCCTTATATTCTAATTCATAAAACGAATCATAAAAAAAAATGTTATTGATGAAGAAAAAGAGCAAATGTGTGTAATGTAACGAGTAACCACAAAATTCGCATTCACGGTTTGGGATTTAACACGAATCAATCATTGTTGGCAGAAGCATTTAGCTAACGTGATAACCGGTTGTGTTTAAAAAATAATTTATATTTTTAAAAATTTTATTTATCTTGATAAATGAGGAAAAAGAATTTAAATAAATAAAACCGAAAAAAAGGATTTATTTAGCACGTGGAAAAATATTTAGTTTGAAAACAAAAATTTACTTTATTTATAAAAATTGTTAAATTTAGTAAAGCACGGCGACTATAATATTTTGAAGAGTATCTTTGTTATCAATGTTCTGTTTTTTTATTTAGTTAAAAAATAAAGGGTGAATCACATTTAAGGACCCTCAATAAAATTATTCATCGACAAGAATTAAAACGAAATGGATTGTTATTAAAATGAGAATATGATTTTTTTTTCTCAAATGAGATTTATTGTTAGTCATTGTTTGTGAATAATTTTTTTTAAGAGATCCTTGAATGTGATTTTTTCAAAAATAAAATATGCTTGATAGTGACCATTGGCATCTAAAAATTACTTTTATATTACACTTTATAACAAAAATAATTAAAATGTGTTTCTTATAAATAAGCAGAAAGTAATATTTTTTTATCTATATAGTTTTTTAATAAGATTTTAATTTTAGCCTGGGTAATAATGGGTTTCAAACCTTCACAGATTCTCATGACAATTGCTAACATAGTCAACAATGTTTACTAATTGTGTAAGCCAAAATTGAAGCATTGGATCCAATTACAAAGGTTCTTGAAGTCCAAGCTAGAAAAAAAAGAACTCAGCCCAATTATAGTTCAACTTAATGAAAATAAGTGAGATGGTGTGTTTAAAGGAATGTCTGATAGAGTCGTGCTCACTCCTCATACTCTACGAGATTCTCGACTTATCCATGCCTAATACTTTGTATGATGGAGCTCCTCTAAGGAGCTGCAGGCCTAAATAGTTATTTACTTTTAATGGCATCAAAATCAAAATTTAAAAGGAACACGCCGTTGTCATTTTGTTATAAACAAAAACAGCAATTACATAATTAAAAGGACACTCAACATTCTACCAAACTTATACTACACTTGCCCAATCCAATTACTTTATTTTTTGACTTGTGTCTTCTTCAACCTTGTCCTATGCAACTTATTTTTTTCTATGTAAAATTAATTTCTTAAGCTAGTTTCTCAAACTTATCAATTTCTCTATATTTAAGGAAACCTTCGTTTTATTTTTACTTTTTCTTTTTCAAGTAATACTATTGATTTTTATGTCCTCTCATGACGTATTCATTATTGTTCTTGCAAATCACTTGACTCTTTAGAAATTGATTTTGGGAACCCATTTTAATTGTCTGATTATGACTTCTCTTTTAAGGGCACGCTTTTTTGGTACATTCAAACAGTTGTGACGCTCTGATCCTTCACTAAAAATCATGCAAATGCTAATGTACAAAACATATTTATAAATTTATATATTTTTATCACTAACCTTAACTTTCAATGTCAGCCGCAAACAATTGTCCTTGTATATAATTTGAATGAGATTCATACATAAAAAAATAAAGTTGTTAGAAATATACATAAATTTGTCGTTCAATTATTTATTTTCAAAAAATTTATTTATTGATTGTGTTACAATTGTGTTATGGTGGTTGTAACGATGTTTTGGCAATTCCCCCCCTGAAATATAGTAATGGACAAACTTCAGGAGGTGTGAGAATTTGAGCTTGATATGTCTTCCGCTTGCTTGAAACGGAAATTGGGAATGTTTTTAGTGGACAAAAAGCGGGACTAGTTGCAAAAAGACGAGGAAGGGAAATTGGCTAGTCTTGGAAGAAGTGTGACATACCCAACATGTCTCAAACATGATTATTGGATAAGACATGCTTGTGAGTATGTAGCAGTAAAATAGTACAAACAAGTGCTAGTCAGTAGAAATACCCAGTAGCAAGTTAGAGTAGTTGTGGATTAGAAGATGGCTAGCTAATTGTAATTTTGTAGTGAATGGAGTTTTAAGTGAATAAAGGCTTTATTATCAACGTTGGTTGTTTTTAAAGCTTACACAAAACTAACCAAGCGAATACGTGGTAGTGAGTGTGGTGTATTGTTTGATTTGAAACTTTTGTGTTTATGAAACATTAACGGTTAAATAAAGATTAAATAATTTTCCAATCCTCGGGGTGTTGAAACTGTATGTACTACACAACACTAGTTTTAAAAAACGATGTTTAAACAGGTTAGTTTTTGCAGAAAAAATCTACAGGAAAATTACTCCATAAATTATTGAAGTCCTTTTTTCCTGTTTATTGTTTTAGGAATTAATATAACAGGAAAGGTGTTCTTAAATGGCACGGCTTTAAAAGGAGATTTGAGAAGGGAATAAGAACAAATATGGTAAGGAGCTGCTTTCTCCCATTTTTCCATGGCCCATGATGCCACTTCAATATTCACACTACAATAATGTCCCCCCCCCCCCCCCCAAAAAAAAAAAAAAAGCCTTCTCATTCAATTTTTGTCACCACGTTACTTGAGAGTGTCTTGTGTAATTATGACCGACACTCCCAAACACTTAAAACAAACGCTGCCATATGTCTCACTTCAAATTTTTTGCAATAGTTATTTTCAACAAAAGAAAATAGGAGACAAACTAACTATGGAATATAATAAGAAGACCAATGTAAAATGAAAATCTTTAAGCTGTGAATTATTTTTTATTCAAATCTAAACTCATGCCATCCTTATAATAATACATGAATGATATGATTTTTATATATTTTATAAGATAAAAGGGTAAAAATATTCATATAGTAGTTAGTCAACGGCACCCAAATTTTAAAGTGAGAAAAAAGGTAAAAATACCCATAATGTTATATAGGTGGGTGCAAAAGTGATCAAACCGTTAATTTTAACATATCGTCGTTAACTTTGACTGTTAAATGCTGACCGTGCATGCCACATGTCGGTCTTTATTGACATAGACTAATAAAGGGGCAAAATTATTCACGAAATCATCGACCAAAAGTAAAAATATCCATGAAATCATCAACCATGAGCAAAAATACCCATAACATTTTTCAGAGTTAGTACAAAAGTGACCAATCTATCAAATTTCTTAAATGTTGACTGTTTAGCTAACACTTTGACTTTTTTCACTAATATGGATAAAAAATATTCTCAGATAAAATTCTCTGGAGGTTAA